GTCTGTCGTATGAACGGTGACGGAGCACCAGCGATAAAAGTACCTCAGCGTTTGCTACATTCATGTTTGCATGCACCATATCTTTGCCATGCCGCAGCGTTACAGCTTTGCAGCTTTGCTTGAGTTGACCTTGCGGTTTGATCGGTTGCCATGCAGTTGTCAGCTGAGTTTGTGAATAACCTGGTGGCAGTACTCAATGTCCTTGCATCCCAAGTTGCGACAGCTCTGGACACCCTGAACTTTGCCCTGATGACGGAGCGTAGTCATCCGTCAGACACTGTGGCGACCCCAAGAGCACCAAGAAACTCCAGACATGGGTTGCGGCCCCGCATCATCACGGAGCGCGCCTCGTCTGACAGATCCCGTTCTCCCACACGAATTCGGGCTCGGCCTGTGGACACGTCATCTACCTGGTACATACCGGCCTTATCCCCGCCTCGAGCGGCACATCGTGATGCTAGTGACCACAATCCTGGTACTCGGCCCGAATCGATGTTGGATCGACTGCCACCGCCTCGTCCACTTGCTCCCTTCGCCACGCACGGTGGCCGAGAGCCAGGACAGACGTCGCCTACGACACCTGATTCGGATTCTGATGGCTCGGTACGTCCGCATCCAGGTGCCTCGTCGTTCCGGCCGTCGCCTACGGTGGTTCATGGTCCTCGGGAACTTCTACAAGAATTCACCATTGCACTTCGCAATGCATACCGTGAACCTTTCACGGCATGGACACAGGGTGAGCTGGATGAGATGGTGCGACGGAAGAAAGACAAGGATTCCAGGCCCACCTATAAGACCATAGCTCGGTTTCTTCAGAAGCCGATTGAGGAAGTCAAGCAGGCATGGAAGGTCTATCAACAACTTGAGGCTCGCGGTTAGGAACGCGGTCGTCAAATGCAGAAGCGACCATCGGAGGACTAAATGGTAGGCCGTGGCGGCGTGTTCGGCTCTTGCTGTTGATCACATGCTATTTGCTTGCTTGCGCGTGACTTACTCTTGCTTGCCGTTTTGGGAGATGCCGTTAACATGAAGTGAAGTCATGACTGAGTTGCTCAAATCATGTCGGAACAAGTTGTACACACGTACATTACCTGGACCCATGGCGCACAGCCGACGTGGTTACAATTTCATGGACCCGGGGCTTTACTCGACAGACCCATTCGGCAGACTACGTCGCCTCCGCCCCCGCCAAGTTTCCCATTGCTTCTTCCACCTCCTCCTCCACCACCACCACCACCACCACCGGTGATTCTACACCCACAGTTTATGCCCTCGGTACGCAGCCCCTCGATCTCAGCCCCTCGCGGACAATCCTGCCCTACCTCTTCGAAATCGCAGCGCGCACGCCGCTCGATCTACAGCACTGACCATTCCCGTGATGAGGAACCACGCAGTCCAGGGCGCTCGTCCAAACGATCTCGGACAGCATCCGCTTCAGCGCCGCGGAGATCTCGACGGCCCTTTACAGTGTTTTCCTCCAAACGTGCTGGCCGTCCATCGCAGTCCCCATCGGCAACTTGCAAACACTACTGTCATGCCATCCTGCGCCATGGGCGGAAATGTCTTTCTCCTTGTGCTCGCCGACGACCAGGACACTATCATTGCAGGTGTGCGCGACATCAACGACAGTGAAACCTAGGAGTCGGACATTCCTGACCCAGTTGCTGTGTTTCACCTTGAGTTTGAAAAGTTGCCTCACTCTCCAGCGGATGTGCGCGGTTGGCAATGCATGTGTGTCTTTGCCGCAGACTTTCGACTAGTTTTAGCTGGCGAGCCTGTATTGCCGCTATGAACCCCCAGTATTTCGAGTACCAGATCGATAGAGGAGTGGAATGGATTCGAATTTACTCTCCGGGCATTTGGAGACCCGTTCCCGATGATGCTCCAGTTCCTGACCCACTCCACGCTTCCACGTATCGGGAGTGGCGCAGATCATATCACTTCCAAGTGTACTGGTCTGAAGACAGCACCGGAGGCACCACAACGGATCCCATAGTCACGCCCAGTTCCTATGTGTCTTACCACGTGTGGGAGTACCGAGACTGGCAAACACGAGGGTATCAACGGCTTGGAGCTCCTGTACAATCCATCGGATTCGCGATGCTCGTGAATGCAGACGTCGATTCCTCGGTGGGCTCATCGGTACCGGATGGGGCGTGGCGGGAACCGTCGCCGCCACGAGCTTGCTTTGTATGTGAGTCCATGTTGGGTTGTCTTGCTTGGTGGTGTACATTCCGTCTCTATTTGTTCGCCGCTTTCCTTCATAACTTTGAGCGGCTTGCCGGGTTGAAATGTTCAATAGTACAGTGCATGGTGCAGCACGATGGGTCCTACCTCGCTATTTTGACTACGACATCGTCAATGGGCCAGCAAATACGAGTGTGGAATGGATTCGGATCTATGTACCGGGTCAGTGGCATCCAGTCGCCGCGAACACCCTGGGACCGGCCCCGGAGGACTCAACCACCTATCGGGAATGGCGCAAGGTCCACCACTTCGAAGTGTATTGGCCTAGGGAAAGTACGGGCGGCACCACCACAGGCACTGCGAAATCCTATGCAACCTTCTATACATGGTATTACAGGGACTGGGTCACCAGGGGATACCAACGTCTGGGTCGTCCACGACCCAGCATCGCGAGGCCAGTTTTCGCTTCGGGTGCACCGGACCTCATGTATGCTGGATTGACCTCCTCCTCGGCATCATCCGATTCACATGATGGCTGATGCCCGTCCTCGCCTTCCTGGGGAGTCTGTTCAGTTCAATTCGATTCGGGAGATTGACCTCGATGCTGGAGCCGCGCAGTGCTGCAAAAGTGGTCTTTTGCATTGTGATCGTTGTTTCGCTTCACTCATTGTTGTCTGCAGCCGTACACCTATCAATTTGTCTTTCCGTGGTTTCGTTGTCATGGCGTGGCTGGAATGGTGTCCGGATCCTCAACAACCAGATGCCCAGTGGGTCAAGATCTTTCATCCGGGACCATGGACGCCACATGAAGAACACGATGCTCCACCTCCTCCGCATACTTTTGGAGAATGGAGGGAGTACTATGCTCCCAACCAGGACTCAGTCGGTGGGCAGGTCCAAGTCACCACGTGGTACAAACGTGACTGGGCCACAGAGGGCTATCGGAGAGTCGCTGCCCCTCACGTTGGTCATGAATTTGATTCCATGTATCTCCCTGATCATCACAGCGTGGCCACGCAGTCTGCGGCATTGAGTATGTCACCGGAGCTGTTAGACGCGATTCTCAGGTCCTCGGATGCGGCTGATTTCTCTACCGAAGAACTGACTCGTCTCCAGGAGGGGATTTCTCAACAACTGACAGCTCGCGCACGTCAAGCTTCCCAACCTCATCAACCAGTACGTGCATCGCGTGGAAACACACCATCGGAGACGATTGGGGTCTCCGAGCCCTACCGGCCCGTGAATCCTTCAGACAGCGGCAGGGACAAGGCGAGTCCCATCTTCGAGCTGACTGAGGACTAGACTCGCATGAGTGACGCAGCGTACAAAATAAGGGTGGTCTCTACACTTGCATGATCTTGCTTGGTTGTTGTTTGAACATGGTTGTGCATGGTGCCTGTTCCACTACTAGCTGGATCGGAGCCCGCGACAATCCTTGCCTCTCACTTCGACATGGACATCGATGATTCGAAGCAGCACCAATGGCTCGAATATTCGGTCTGGCAGGAACAGGAGTGGGTGCGGATATACACTCCAGGACAGCCTCAACGATGGCACCGCGGTGACGCCGTACCTGATCTACCTGAGAATTCTTTTCGGGAATGGCAGCGGGTGACTGATCCCAATGAGCCGGTCCAGGCATGGGACATCCGTGACTGGCAACATCAAGGGTACCAGCGCATTCTGTCTCGGATTGAGTCCTTCGCAACTCATTATCCGCATGATCAATCTCTTGGTCAAGGTCAGGACTCCGATGCCGTTCCAGTTGAGGAGACGTTCACCTACGCCACTCCTTTTTCTCATGGTGATCGCCAGGCTGCTTCGCAAATCGCTTCAGTCCTCTATGGCGACACTCGCAACGCTCAACGTGGTGATCTCTCGTTCCCGTCTTCTGAGCGGTTTAGGGCTGTGTCTCGCTCCCCTCGCCGTGTTGGATATTTTGGTCAACGATAGAGAATCGAGTTGGAGCATGTGATCTTCCTGCAGAAAAAAGAGAAACCTCGCCCCTCGTAGAGGGGCGTGTGTGTGCGGAGTGGCAGAAAACCCTGCCACCAAAACCTTTTTCGGTTGCAGCAGGGGGGCAACGGACACTCTGGGTCGCGTTGCCCAACGAAGACCGTCCAGAGTTGTCGTGAAGCAACACGGGACGCCGTGCTGTGTACCTGCAACATTTGCGTGATTCTGAAAGTCTATTTGGCCCTTGGTTGCGGCGCTGTTTGTGCTTCTTGTTCTTTCGGGTAACGTTTTCGCCGCTAGAGGGAAGCCGAGTGCTTCGCGAGTCGAAACTCATCCTACTCGAGACTTGTCAGTTGTACTCGAGACTCATCAGTTGTACTCGAAAGATTAGCACTCTCCATCTGGAGTTCAAGTGTGTGTGTGTGTGTGTGTGTGTGTGTGTGTGTGTGTGTGTGTGTGTGTGTGTGTTTGTGTGTGTGTGTGTGTGTGTGTGTGTGTGTGTGCATGTGTTCCGTTTCAAGCTGCCCATGATACGACTTTTTTTTGCAACCTTTTGGAGGACTACGTAGTTACTAGCTACTTGGGCCAGACTGGACACCTCACTGCCAGAAACCTCCAAGCCGCTCCCCCAACCACCCGCCCCTCCGAGAAGAAGAGAACTTCTTGACTGGGGATATAAGGATATATGGCTGTGGTTGTCAAAATCAATGGGATCCCATTTTGGGGTAGGTGCACCACCCATTTTAGAACTTATTTTAGTGGGGATTGGGATGTTCGTTCACCGGGGGGTACGATTTGGATTTTGACCCACAGCGAGAGGAAACCAAAGGCCCACCCTCGCCCCCTCACCCGCCCAGGGGACCGCCCGGGCCGCTTGACGGTTCGAGTGCTTCGCCCGGATCAACAGCCTGGCCGCAGGTGCCGATGGAGTTTGATTCGATGGGCCGGCGCGTCTCTCCGGACATCTGGGTGTGGTCCAAACGTCTGTTGGAAGACCAGTCTTCTTGGTCCAGGAAGACGAGTTTTGTTTTGGCAGCTACACTCAAGTAACCCATGGCTGGAAGCCCGAAATCTGGGTATGCAAGAGTAAACGCATGTTGAGCTACTTGCTCTCATGGGTCTACCAACTTAGGGCCCAAATTCGATCGGACAGTGGTTTGGCCGCTTATGCTAAATTAGAGCTTCCCAGCATACATATGGCGAGCGGGGGATGAGACGGGATTGTCCTGTGAAACATCTTCTTATCAGTGCCTGGCACAAAGTGTTCTTATGACTTGTGACCAGCATGTGCCAGTTTGGTCTGTGCATCCTTTAAGGTTGGCTAAACGAGAAGTGCGAGACCGACACTCTGCCAGACCGAAACGCAAACCGCCGCCATCTTTCGGGCTTCAAGCACCGCAATGGTTTAGCAAAATGGGAACAACCTAAACTGCTTTCATTTGAACCAAAAGGGGAACTCCATTCCTTTTCACCTCGCGAGCTGTTGGGAAATCATCTCTTTGCCTCAATTTGGAATTTGGAAAGCCGAAGGAACACCAAAAAAGAAACACCGAAAGGAACCACCGAAAAAATAATAATGAAGAACTAAACATAATAAAAAAAGAAAACACCGAATTTGGACAGCCTTTGGAACACCGAAGCCCAGAGCCGCGAGGATGTGCGTGAGCACCAGCCGGCTGGCGCTGTCCCGGCCCCTGCCGGGGCCCCGGGTCCAGCCCGACGGCTGCGAAGCGAGGAGATTCAGAGCGCGGTTGGCAGCCAAAAAGGGCTCCAGGTTGGTCTTCCTTTTTTTTTTAAAAAAATCATATTTTTTTTTAAATATTTATTTAAATCTTTGGGCCATCTTTTATGAACTCGAAGGGTTTCTTTCTTGCCCCCATTAGAATAATGGCAAGGGGTCAACTTTTTTTAACACTTTCTTAGGCAAACGATGGTATCTCAACCCCTGTTGTTTATTGCTTTGAACCCCAGGGACACGGGTTCCCTACTGCGGACAAGATCCAAAATCGCACTTGGGATTGATGGTGCCCTTTTACTTTTGGGATACACAACCCATCAATCGTCCCACAGTATGTTGAGACGCAACAAGATAAGTTGACCTTTGGTAAGTGGGACAGGTAGTTGACATATAATCAGGCTGAAAACCCCGTAGAAAAGCAAGGTACAGCTGACCCAACACATGGATCTGGCCGTGGAGTTTAATTCAGGTCTTTGTGGGCAAGGCGGTAAGGCCCATAGTTCCGGGTGCAGGGCGATGCGGGACCTCGTTTTGGACATCCTGGTGATTTGACACCCGTTTACTTGAGGTTGGCGTCAACTTTTCAGGCGTGTGAGACCATATATATATATATATACCTCCCCCCTGAAATCCTATTCAGATTATTTTTTAAAGTTAGACATTATACTAGACAATTAGGAGATGGACAAACACAATATCCTGGCAAAGGAAGTCCTCTTAACATGTCTTTTTGAAGTAAGTATCTCAATTAAAGATATTCTTTAGAAAGGAAATCCTATTTACATCAGATTTAAAGCTAGACATGGAATTAGGATGTTCACTTTTAATGTCTGCTTAATTTCCAATTGGGACATTGAACAAGTCAATGCTAGAAAAAGAGTCCCCATTTAAAATATGTTTTGAGTTCAGAATTGCAATTCAAAACCTTCATTTAATCAGCCTATTCAAACTCTTGCTAAACATATAATTTATACTAGTTGCAAAAAACAACTACTTTTCAATTACAAAGCTTCCTGGAATCGGAGCACCTATTTAATTTAGATACTCTCTAAACGAGAAATCCTCCGAGGGTAACCTCCTGATTACAACCACCAAAATTCCATTAGACATTGAAAACCACAAGCCCCGCAAAATGAAGAAACGGAGACCCCTTTTAAAACATAATTTGAAATGCACATTTCCCATTCAACATAGTCTTTGAACAATGACACCCTATTTAAACAAATATCGGTTTTGCAGGATTCACTGGTATTTGCGGTGTTTTGCCTTTCTTGGGGCTTTGGGGCTTTGGCAGCGGAAAAACAGAAAAAAAAAGGAAAAGGGGAGGCGCCTTTCCGAGCCTCCTGGAGGCTTCAGGCTTCAGGCTTGAGATGCCAACCGGGGCGTAGGGCTCAGTCAGTTCCGATTCAAGCCCAAAAGTCTCCAGGAGCTTCAAGAATCACAAACTCTGAGATTGGACAGCGTTCCAAGTGTCAACTGCGAGACTCGGAAGGCGAGAGCCTTCTTCTTTTTCCGAATCCGAAGCCCGCGGCCCGGGTGGTCCATCGGACGCGGGCATCCTGTCCGGACTTCCAGCCGGTAGTAGACCGTAAATTGCGAGAAAAGCAAATCCTTTTTCTTGTTCTCTTCAAGGTATGTGTCTCTGAGTCTCGCAGGCCCTCTGCCAGGGAAAGAAAGGGCCCAAAGTTTCCCTCGGGTATGTGTCAAGATGGGTGTTTTCGTTGGCTCCCGTAAGGTCGACCCCTTGATTCATAACCCCCAGTTTAGGAAAATGGGGGCGTTTCCCTCTAAAGGCGGTCTGAATCTCCACATTTCACCCCAAAACACCACTATCAATAAGCAGGGGTGTATACATCCGGGGTCAACATTGGAACATCGTAAGTCCCCCCGAAAACCGAACGTCAGGTCCTGTGCGGGCGCTTCGGCTGTCCGGGCGAAGCCCTAGGCCGGCGGAAGTTCCCTCACTTTCACTTTCAAGGAGTTTCCGGACTGTCATCGGCCTGGACCATTCGGGTGACTCGTCTTTTCGTGAGAGCACCTTTCTTGACAAATGATGGATGTTCCCACGAACCCTCAAATTCCTAACTTTTGTTGCAGAGGTCAACAGCAACCAGGCTTGTTGGTCGTTTTAAAGGACAACTACAAGGAACACCGTTGCGCCATTTTGCGGGGGTCCGATTCCCCCAAAGAATATGACACACTCATTTTGGTGGTAAGCTGAAAGTCCGGGGACGAAGGCCCATTTTCTTGTGTCCAGTAAGTTTTCACGGTGACTCGTAAAGGGCATGAGCAGCTGCCTTTTTGGATTGCTGGGAACCCAGGATCAAACCTGGGGCCCTTTTCATTCCTGTTCAAGCCCCATATTTAGAACTCTGCCGAAAGGGAGGATGGCCGGTGGTGAAACCTTTGAGAGCTTCTTTTCCTTGTTTTCGGGGGGTTGCTTCACCTATCTGAGCCTATCTATTCAAAAAGAGCACCGGACCCCCTTTGCGAAGTGCTACTGATGCGTGGTGGACGCGGGATGCACCAGTCCCAGCCTGGGGGAGTATAGGACCCCGCCGAAGTCTGCTTCTTGATTTGCGTCAGTCTCAGCCATCTGCTGGCCGTTGCTCTGCCTGCTGATGTTCTGGTTGCTGTGCTGCTTGCTGATGTGCTGCTGCTCTCCAACCCCTCCTGTCAATAGGCTGTTCTCTGCGTAGCAGGGTTGTGGGATCAAGGGGTTTATCCCCACTTCTGGGATACTGAACCAAGCAACAAATCGCTGTCAAAACTATGGACACATGGACCAAACTCCGCAGTCCCTTGGTGGTGTAATTTTGACACACACACACACAAATAAGTAGGCCCCCATTCCAAACCACCCACCCACCTTAGATTCCATGGCGCCATGCCCGGTTTCTGAATGGCGACGGACTGACCCGTGTGCAAAAAAAATGCTTCTGATCGCCGGGGGTCGACGCTTCCAAAACCCGAATTTACACGTGAAAGGGTCAACCAAACAGGATGCTATTCTAGTGTTCATCTTTTGGTAGGCACCTTCAGCCATATATTTCCGTGAATGCTCCCCTCTTTGTATGGGGGGTTAGTCTTTGGCAGGCGCTTTTGGTTGTATCACAGTGGATTCCCATTGCCAGCCCCGCTGGCTCAGTCCAGTTTCGCAGGTACGAGTGACTTGCCCAAAGCCGGCGGGAAGGTGAAAAATTAGACGCAGGCCAGGCCATCGGATCCCCTACACAAATGCCAGGTTTTCGGCGAACTGTTTATGTAACATACATTTGCAGACTTCTCTTTCTCCCCCAAACAAAACAGGGGGGAGGACAATCTTTCATTCTTTTTTGTGAGCCCTCAACCGTTTTGAACTTTTCGCACCCTGGCTTTTGAACCGGGCGAAGCTAACGGGCAAGGGGTAAGGGCGTGGGATCCTATGACAAATGGCGCGGAGACCGCGCAGCTTCCTGATGGACAAACATGTATCCTCCCTTCAACGATGGGAAGCCGACAAGAGGTCTTTTCTTGTGAAGTGTGCAACTCCTTGCTTCTTGGCTGTATGTGGCTCACTTGGGAGGAAGAAGAAAGGCAAACTAGGGGTTTGCCGCTGACATTTCGCATTCTTTGCAACCATCTTCATTGAACGAAATGGAAGAGACGTTCCCGGAGGGTGTCCCCCAGGTCTCTCTCGCGCAATCACCAGCCGCTTTCTGTTTAGAACCAGCCATTCCCAGCGGTGTTTAGGGCGGCTTGCTGGCAAAGCAACTGGTTCAGAACGGAGAAGCTGTCTTTAGAGATTTGGAGTGCCGCTAGCACGCTAGCGGCATTCCTGCCCTGCCGAAGGCAGGTTTAGTGTTTCACCTGCAGGCCGTTTTGCCGCGGACAAGGATCAAAGGATCAGATCGATGGTAAGCTTGACCGTTCTGAGTCGATCTTGGTGGTGCAAAAAGGCTCTGTTAAAGACATCTGCAGTTCGACCGCTTTGTTTTCCATTCCCATTTTCACCTGTTGGGTAGCGGTGCAGATGAGGACTGTTTCTCCGATTTTGTCTGGACTTTCTGGCAGTGCCCTTTTCACAGCTCTGCCACTGCATTTCGCCGGACATAGTGTGTCTCAGATGGGGAAGATGTAGGTTGCTTGCCCGATGAGTCTTTTCATTTGGACCTCACCATGGGTAATTACCTCCCATCCCCCCCGGAAAACAAAGAAACAGCAATAGAGGCGACTTTCATAGGAACATTTGTCACTACGAAAGCCATTTCGGACAAAATGCTGGATTTCAGTGGACTCCAAAGAGTCTTTGCGTATCAATCCAGTCCTTTCCCCTGAAAGGGCGGATGTGAGACCTGATGAAAGCCGACCAGTGACATGACATCGGTCATCCCTTCACTGCCATCGTTTGACTCTGAGTTTTCCAGTGGTTGAAAGCAAGCTGGGCTGGGGCTTGAACAGTTTCTTGCCGGCATACCTGACCGGAGATTTGGATCTAGTTTTTGGCCTCCAGGACGACGTAGATCCAACGAACAAGGATTGGGGTGAGTCTACTTGTGACTGACACCTGGAGCTCCAGTGGTAATTTGGCATGGCACGGATTGTGGCCTTGTGCCTGGCATTGGGAAGACTTCACTCTACAAAATTGCGCAATTGTTGGCTTTTGTGAAGCAGCCATGGAGAGATGAAGGACAGCGGGCGCATTTGAATACCATGTAGAAAGATGGGCCTCGCGGCTGGCCGAACAACCATCTCCAGTTGCCAGTTTAGTTCGATGAACATCCATGCACCATTTTTTTGTGATGTGAACAGAAGGGTATCAAGGTTCTGTCCAGCCACATGTTGCGGAAAGGTGCCCATGTGTGGGTGATTCCTCAAAGGTTGCCTTTTTTTGGGGCTCCTCCAAAGCTTTGCTTGGAACCTCCAAAAGTGGAAGCCCTTGGGCTAATTAACGCTAAGTTACGGCTTGATTGTGGGAAATCAGCCGAAGGGTCCCAAATGGCCAGGGGTTCATTTATGAAACTATACAATCAGCCTTTAACACTTCCCTACAATTGATCCGACGAGTGATGGCTAAGCTGGCTAAAAGGGACATATATGGACATTCCATCGAGTTGCATCAAACTCAGCAGAATGCTTTTCGTAGGCCTCTTGGTAAGACCAATTAGCTGGAAGTCTCTGCCAAGCTGAAAGACAGGCTGATCATTCATGGATGCACCAAACAGCAGATCGTTTTCAGTTTTCGATCTTTGATTGACCCATTCTTTTAGTGGTTTCGGATAGAAGTGAGCGTGCGACAAATTGACAGATTGTGATAGTGCCATGGGAGAAACGCCTGATCCTGTGAACAAGGCAATTTGGCGTGCAGCTGCAGCAGCATCTCACTTGTCAGATGCCTTGCCTCAGATCTTGCGATCACTTTGCACTTGGGCCTCTGATGTGTTGGAGAAGCCGGTGGACGTCCAGCCCATTGGATCTGTGGTCACAGGGATCACAGACACATCATCGGATATAGATGTTGTTCTGTTGCCTGGCGAGCCGGATGCCGAACATGTGCTGGAAAGACTCAATAGCGCGGCTGACACATTGCCAGCCTTCCAAGTCCTGCGCTTTGTCCCATCTGCGCGTGCGCCTGTGCTGACACTTGCCAGAGCAGATGGTATAACTTTGGATCTCACCGCAAGCAACTATCTTCCCGTCTACAACTCGGCCTTGTTGAAGGAGTATTGCGACCTTGATGCTCGATTGCGGCCACTTGCTTGTGCAGTGAAGCGCTTTGCAAAGGCTGCAAATGTTGTTGGAGCTGCAAGCAACAATCTTTCAAGCTATGCTTGGTCACTGCTGGCCGTCTTCTACTTGCAAACAGCTGATTTGAAATTGTACCTACCAGAGACGGCAGAGTGTAGGAAGTTGGTGTGCTTGCAGTCTTTTTCAAAAGGCCAGGAGGTCAAACTGCAAGGGCGCAGTTTTCAAATCGGCTTTAAGAGGTTGGCTGACATGACGCCAGCGGAGCAAGCACAGTTCTCCTTCAGAGCTGACGAGACCTTCCCCTGGCGTGCGCTGGTGCGGGGCTTTTTCAAGTTCTATTCTGAAGACGTCGACATCCATGGCGCCCTGGTGTCCGTCCGATGCGGCAAGGCCTTGACGCATATCAAGGATGGAGGAGGTCGCGGACCTCACATCGAAGATCCCTTTGATCCTGAGCACCAGTTGGGTTCAGTGCTCTCTGATACACGGCGAGAGGCATTTGTGGAGGCTCTGAGATGGGGCGAAACGATGTTGGAGGATGGCTCCTTTGCCGAGTTGCTGGAAGGACATGCAGATCTGCGGTCCCCTGTGGTGTGGGATACCCTGCTGCACTCTGACGAGCTTGTGCATCATAGAGTTCGACCGCAGGGTAGTCGCACAGATGCAGAAGCGGTTTATTCAGATTGCCCTGTGTCTGAGGATGTTGTCGCATTACTGGGGCATGGTTTGGACGAATTTCAGCGGAGGGCGATTTACTGCGCGGCGCAAGGCGAGTCCGTGATTGTTGCCGCTCCCACCTCTGCTGGAAAGACCGCGGTGGCGGAAGCGGCCATGATGCAGGTGCTGCACGAAGGTCGCTCGGCCATCTTTTGCTCGCCGAGCAAGGCACTGAGCAATCAGAAGTTCGTGGATTTCCGGCGGAAGTTTCCAAAAGTCGGTCTTCTCACTGGAGATGTCTCTATTGCTCCAGCCTCACCCATTTTGGTGGCAACGACGGAAGTGCTGCCACTTGGTTCTTCTTGGGCCTGCTTTTGTATGAGCAGCGTTTGGCGAGAGACCATTCTCGTACATTCAGGTCCCCCTTTTGTGGTTTGGGTTGGTAATGTTGGAATTGAAGCCCTCAGTTCCGGTTGTGCCCCTCCAAAAACATCCAAATCACCAAATCAAGGGAAAGCTGATACATGTGAGACACCTTCTTCCCTGTCCTTCTCATAACTTCTGTCAGCTGTGTGGCCGAGGTAGGGAGGAATCTTTGATAAGCCGCTTCTTTGTATGTTTCCATCGTTGTTTTTCGACTGGCTGGGGAAAATTCCTTGTTCACACAGTGAGGCGATCGATGCTTTTTCGTCAACTTGAATTTGATCGCGTGCGGACTGTGATCATCGATGAGGTTCACTATGTCGGGGACAAAGAGCGAGGCTCTGCTTGGGAGGAAACCATCATCTTGCTGCCAGCCCACGTCAATCTGGTTTGCCTCTCTGCCACTGTTCCCAATGGCTTGGATCTCGCAGGATGGATATGTCAAACAAGACATGCAGTGTGCCACTTGCTTCTGATGCAAGCGAGACCAATACCTTTGCGCACCTATGGGGTAGCTGAGGCTACCCGCCTTCTTGTTGACAACAAGAATGCCTTCTTCCAGGAAAACTTGGAAGCTTTTTTTTCCTCTGGGTGAGCGAAGCCAGTACGATAATTTTCAAGACATTGCTACAAACTCAAAGATGACTCCAACTTTAGCCTTCATGTTCAGCAAGGTTCAATGCGAGACTTATGCTCTGGCCATCGGCAGACGCCTCAACCAAGCTGAGGTGGTTGGCCATCTCATCTCAGAGTTCGCCTCCACGAATAAGACAAGTAGAGCCAGCATCAGGTTCTGGACAAGTCGCAAGATTCAACGACTCTGTCCCGTTGCCAGGCTTTTGGACCCAAAGTCGGAGCAACGTGCCAAGAAAGTCATTCAAGAGACCCTGCAGCATTTGCCGGAAGAGGACCGTAGTTTGCGGCAAGTTCAACAACTTACGAAGGAGCTGCTGCCGCATGGTGTGGCCTGTCATCACAGTGGCCTGTTGTCCCCTTTGCGGGAGCTTGTAGAGCGACTTTGCGCTGAAGGGCTTCTGCCCATGCTCTTTTGCACCGAGACCTGTGCTGTGGGCCTGAACTTGCCAGCAAAATCCGTAGCATTCTCTTTCACCAGGGAAGGCTTGGTGAAGTGTGATGGTTGTAGCAGACGCCCTGTGAGAGCTGGCGAGTATTGTCAGATGGCAGGTAGGGCAGGTCGAAGGGGACGTGACGAGAAGGGAAACGTCCTCTTCTGCATTGCAGAAAACGACAAGGATGAAGAGGGTCAAGCAGCCAAAGCAGAAGCTGCAAAGGCGAGGCGCCGCAAGACAACAGCAACGGCACTTTGCAATCACTTTGAGCAAGTTGCTCTCAGCCCTGTAGAGCCGATTGCCAGTTCTTTTGCTTTGCGCTTCCCGTCCATGCTCAATTTGCTGAAGTTTGGTCATGCAGGGTACGTCAAGTGGTGTTGCTTGCAGACCTTCCAGCAGTTTCAGAGTCGCAGAGCAGCTGCAACTATTGAGCAACAGAAGACGCAGCTGGCCATGTTTGCAGTTCTCGAAACGCTTGGCTTTGTGTCGCCGGAGCAGAGGTTGACCAGTCTGGGTCGAGCAGTTGCTGGCTTGTGGATTGGTGATCCATTGCTGCTGGGAATGTTGTTGCAAGATCAGGTTCTAGAAGATTATCCTTCGCTGGAAGTGGTGTCGTTTCTGAGCATTTTTGTTGTGGAGCCCAACTTCTTTCAGAAGGAAAAGAAGAATCAAAGATCGGAAGATGAAAGTGATGACAGCTCCGTCGGCTCCAGTGGCATCCTTTTCAAAGAAAAGCCGTGCCAAGACCCACAAGACCCAGAGGCCGAAGAGTTTCAGAAGAAAATCGAGGCCCTGGCCGCCCTCTTTTTGGAGTGCGCGCGTTTCTTGTCAGATGCCTACGCAGGAGCTGGTTTGCTGAAGACAGACAAGAATGATAATCATGCATATTTCCAGAACTGGTGCAGTGGACGCCTGTCTTTCAAGCAGTTTACGAGGCTTGTGGAGGATGGCAAGGACATGTTGCTGGCAGTTCGGAGATGGCTCTTGGGCAAGCCCTTTGCAGAAGTCTTGAGCGTGGCACGGGTGGATGCGGGCACCATGGCCAAGGCGATTCGAAGACTTGCCAAGTTGTTGAAGGACATGATTCAGGCAGCGACCAAGCTTGACCATCTTGACTTGGCGCAGCGCCTTTCGCAGGAGCTTGGGCGCCTTCAACGTGGCCTGCCTTTCCTTCCGTCCTTGCTTCTGGGAAGTTGGCAGCCAGTGCCAGCCAACGGTGAAGAGGAGCCGCCACTTTCCTGGCCGGTTTGTCCAGACCAGGTAGGCGAAGTGGTGGAAATCAAGCCATCGCAAGTCGGCTTTTCGCACCGAAGCTGCTCCGCGCATTTCAAAGATGGCCGGACAGTGCTGTCCACTGTGATGGAAATCCTGGCTGGCAAGGTGTTGCCGTCAGAGATTGAGGAGCTGCGCATTTACTGGCACCAGGGAATGTACTACACGCTGGGCAATCGCCGTCTTTGCGTGTACCGTTTGCTAGAACACTGTCGGCCAGACACGCTGATCTGTGCCAGGGTGGTATCTGATGCCGAGGCTGATGCCTGGGATTGGAAGAACAAGTTCACTTCCGGAAGGTGGAAAGGTGCTGCCGTGCTTTTGCGACACACGGGCGAGATCGTGGGCAAGAACGGCCAGCAGACTACATTTGCAATGCCCAGCGTGGCGGATGTGGAAATGGCGGCGAAGTCGCCCATGGAACGATGTGATGCTTCGTCTTGGGATGAGCAGCCTGGTGCCATTGCTTATTGGCAGCAGCTGCATCTTGGAGAGGTGTTCTTGACACGTGCGGGGATTGTTTTAATGTCCAGGGGATGGGCTCAACGCGTGTTAATTTTGTGGTGACTGCTTGGGCGTGACACAGAGAACAGCCATGAGTCAAAGTTACTGACCCCAGATTTGCTCATTGGGACGGTCAGCATGTCACGTAGGGTTTTGACCTCATCGTGCAATGTTCGCAGCCAAGGCACACTGCCTGTCAACAAGACGTGTCACGCATTGAAGAGTTGGCGGTAGTGTCCCGACTTCCAGGCAAGGCAGGGAGCTTGTTCGCAGGGACAATTTGGCACTTGACCCTTTCAATCCCTCGTAAATTGAACGCTCAAGTCATCAGTTTCTCCACTTACATTGGGCACATTTGCAAAGGTGCAGGTCCCAACACCCGAACACATGTCAAACCAGCCTGTGACAGGTGCAGATGTGACTGCAAGGTCACAGGGACCTTGCAGGAAGCTGCTGGATCCTATGAGGCTCTCAGATGAGGAACTGGCTCGGATGAACATGGATTGGACCCCATGTGAGGATCCTCGCTTTGAACAACCCAGTTGCGGAGAAGGTTGTGGGAAGCCCTGCACCCGGAAGGGGTGCAACGGCATCTTTGAGAAGACAGGGGCACCGTGTCAGTTTTGCCATGCTCATCCACCTGAGGTCATCGCGAGGTTTGAAGCATTTCGAGGTTTCGCCAGACGCGCCGCAAAGAAGAACGTTGGCAAGCACGCAAACCGACGCGTGGGCTATTGAGTGCAGGGACAAAGGTCCTGGACAGATGTTGCTGCGAGTGGGAAAAACATAGGCGTGAAGGCTTCTCCAGAAGCAGCTCCCCTTTTTGTTTTGTTGCTTTTTTGGGGTACCCTTTGTTTTGTTCTCACCAGGCAAAAATATATATATATATATATATTTGCTGGGGTCCTAAGTCCAGCCAAGAAGGGTGGAGGCTGTCAGTGCACAACCTCAGTCTTGTTGAGCTTGCATCACCGGACGTCCTGAAGCGTGTCTTTGTGCTGCGGAAGTTGACGCAAAGCGGAGGCCAGGATAAACGGAAGCTCGGCCTGGGGCAGCTGACGAAGCAACTGGCAGTGTTGATGCGAGGTGCTTGGCGTATCGAATTGTTCAGTTATTGAGCATTGATATGGTTAAACATAGGGATCCACCTCAACGGCGGCTGGTGGACATGCATCTCCAGCTAAATGATGTCCATCAATGGGCCCCCTATTAAAACTCAGACCCATATAGTTTGCACTTTTCTTTTACTTGCAATGTCTTCAAGCTACTGCTCCATGACAGGGCAAGCATCGCTTACATCGCCCATGACAAACAACTTCTTTAAGATGGAGTTTGCGAGTTGGAGCCGCCTCAAAAGTTGGTGAACTTGAATCCCCGCCGACTTCTGATATCGACCAAAGGGTCTCCGATTGAGATGCATGCCCATGGTTCGACATTCAAGGGGGAGCAAAGAACCATAAACTCCCTCGGTTGATGGGTTTCCTTTGGGCTGTTTGAAGGGGGCATAATCCTCACTTCCCGAGTTTCCGGACTTTAGTCACTTGGGTGTGGACATTTTAGTGGGAGCTTTTTCCTGGCCATCGGGACAAGTGCCCCGGATACACCCACAAATGGGTGGTTTGCTTTTTCCTTTCTCAGGGCTCCCCCAATAAGGGCATCCAAAAACGGCGCAGCGCCGCGGGAAACATCCGGATTCTTTGGCCGGAACACGGACCCGCCAGAAGCGATCCGGATTGACCGAAAATCAGGGACAGGGCAAAGACCTCGCTGGTGACGCTTGAAAGTGCCTTGGTGACGTGGGCAGCCAGAACCCGCAAGTCGTCTATATACCCGAAGTCATGTCAAGGTGAAAGATGAAGCTGGTCGTTCTTTGCGGCTTCACTTACCCCGGGTTTAGTCTCGGGAGTGCAGACATAGCATACCACAAGGCTCACGATGCCTCCAATTCAAACCCCCATACCCAATCGATACTTTCACCTTTTTGCGGACCCCAAAACACACACAATTGAAACGGAGCATCCTAGGTTTTCTGAAAGCATTCTTTCTGTTTAGTGGGGGGGGGGGGTGGAATTTCGGGAGGCCGTGGTCCACGGCTGCGGCTTTTGTGGATGGCCTGCAAATCAAGAGAGGAAATGAGCGCCAAAAAGGCTGGCTTCGCCGGGGAAGCTTGAGGAGAACTCCAGGAAGAATGCATGTGACAGATTCGTGTGTTTGTTTTCTCGGGAAACCCTTCTTTTGATTTAAAATTTAAAGAAACCTCAGAAGGATACCACCAATTCTTGCTGAACCCCGTTGTGACGTAGAACATTGATGATGGACCTTCTTTTCGGTCTTTTTTGACCCCGGCTTCGCTTGCCGGGCCTTGGTGTTGATTTCTGGCCAGCGGGCAATTGGGGGAAAGAAAGGGTCTTAGGGGGTCTCCTGCAGCGTGCGTTGCAGAGTCGTGGATCCGCGCGCTCCCCGGCGGTGGATCGCGCATGATGACTTGCTTGGCTCAAGCGCGGAGCTGGTGAAATGCCATTTTATTTGATGGACGGTCTACAAAATCAGATGCAGCAGCTTAAAGATGGCAATCCTAGCTGACCAGATTTCAATGAAAGGTGTTCTGAAGATGGCCATTTGCACATGGTTGCTGGATGGTTTACGAAAAGGCAAAGCCATCTCAAAAGGCAATTCTGCTGATTGGAAGGTGGTCTGACGCTTTCTCAGTCACTCCCCCGGAAATCCGCTCCACTTGATCCATCGGATATCATGCCTTCCGATGGAGATCAGGTGGATTTCTTGCATAAACTGGACAAGGCGGTTGCAAGGTCTGGGGGGTCCCCAAATGTGGTGACCAGCTCCACACGCAGAAGTTGATGTTAAATCCAGCTTGAGCAATGAGCAAGTGGCAGTAGCTCGCCCTTTAATATAATTTTTTCGCACCTCCATTGTTGTCCTAAGCTGGTTTTCCCCAACCTCTTCAGGTGTTCTTTTTCCCAACATTTCCTGATTCCCGTGGCGGCCGTCCCGATCATGGCTGAGGAGGCCCCTCAAAAACTGCATGGGCAACTGGTTTTGGGCGGCACAGGTCTCACTGTGTTCGGTGCACAAAGTTCGTCGCCAAGTTACATGGCTGGTCTCAAGGGCGTGACCGAACCGCCCCGGAGAGACCTTGTGGAAACAATGGGCTTTGCCAATCCTACAAAAGATGATCGACCTCAGTCAGGGGTTGGAGCAACCCTGGTTAGTAACTTGCTAGTAGCCTTGTCTGGGTTTGCGAACCGTTCCTGCGAACCTCCATGACTGCTGAGCAGAACACCATGAGCCAACCATGGGAACGAGGGATGTTTGCTTGTTGACATCCGATATCCGCCCGTTTTCACTTGACTTGGAAAGCGTTGAATTGATCGAGTTGACCTGTCCTCGATGCATCAACCACGTTGCAACGTCGCGTGGCTGGATTCAAATCCGCGCCAGGCACCAATTGGGATGAAGAAATGTTGATGACAAACTGTGAATGGGATACATACACACGCCAATCCCAGCTGGTGCGAAGACAATGTTGTCCATTCATGGTACGTATGTCCGGTCTGGTGGGGTGAAGTTTGATGGGAGTATTAACCGACCCCTGTAGCTTGAGTGCCTGGATCTTGTGCATATTTTTTTCTGGGTTTGCTGAAGAAGCCTGCCGAAAGGTCCCTCTCCATTCATCCTGCCTAGGGCGAGCTTTCGGGGGACGAGCGAAACCATGGTCCCGTCTTGGGGATCGCTTGATTCGGGTTTTGGACATACAGAGTAGTCAGAGGAAAGCGGGAAGTCACATGAGTTGCTACCATGGGGACCTGGCTTCGTTAGCCTTCCTGGGCAACGTTTGCTCGCTCATGATTCCACACAAAGGTCATCATGGTTTGAGGAATCCTTTTCTGGGATCCTGTTTTGGGTAACTCATGATGATTTGGGTGTGGGTCAAAATTCAACCACCAGGGGACCGCAGGTTTTGGTCCAGGTCGCCACTTACCAGGAATCCATTTTGGGTACCTATTGTTGACCCACAGCCATGTGTAGAGTGAACGTCCTCACCATAAATGAAGAACATTTTTTGGAAGCTGCCTGGGGCTCAGCGTCTGAAATTCTGGTAGGCAGCTTCAGAAATATTCGACCAGCTTAACACAAATGATGGGCGGCACCCAATTCCCCCTATTGCATTAAAACCTTCAAAACCACGTGAATATCAGGACCCAACAGCTATCACACGGTCTGAGTGACCTGCTTTGGGCTACTTCACAGCCATTCCGGGGCCTGGTGCAAGCAAACGTCATGGCCTAGCAGTACTCAGGGTTTGCTCACCTCAGAGCGGGGTTGCGGAACTGCGGCCGACCCAAAAAAAAGGCCCAGGTAGGAAACGCATTTCTTTAGGACAAAGGGCAAGATCCTTTTGAATGTGTTTCTTTTCTTTTCCTTTGGGGGGGTGCTTTCTGGGGGTCTCAGACCCAAAGACAAAGGCCTCGAATTTCCATGATCCGTACGCAAATTTTCCATGAACGGGTCAAAACAGAGCCCCAACATGGGCGGTGTTTGGTTCCCCTAACCCACGGGAAAGGGAAGGTTTCACCAATCAAGTCGCAACCTGAGCTGACTGGAAAAGGTCCCGGCCAAGCTGCAACTCTTGAAAGCTGGGGTGTGCTTATTGTGAAACCGTGGTTGAAGGGGCAGGGAGCCCAAGTTTGATGTGGGGGGGGGGTCATGGACATTCTTTTGCCTTAAGCTTGTGTAGGCACTTCTTTGGATACTGTGAGTGCAGAAAATCCGGCACCCCCTGGGTGGATTTGGAGTGGGATTTCAACCCTTGGAACCTTGCGGAGGGTAAAATGGGGAACACTTGTCAAGAAGGGTACCTCGAATAGTCACACACCGAGCGGTTGAGAATTGCGTGTGCACCTTGGCGAAACCACCAAACCACCGCAAAAAAGCGCCTCCAAACCAAAGCAGAGCGCCAGGATGAAGCCCCGCGACGGCCCTGGCATTCTGTGTACGTGGTGCCGCGCTCATCTTGGGAACGGGGGGCAGAAATGGTGTGGGGTGGGTCGTTGGAGAGTAAACCTCTTCTTGGTTTGAAACGGGAAGCCCAAAAGGGAACCCAAAAGTGAATTATTGAGGTCTTCCAGTTTTCCTCCATTGGTTTCGAGGGAAACCCAAGAGGGAAACTGAAACATGACTTTTTTTTGTTTCGAGGCCGCCGCATTTTTTTGTTGACGTACCCAGGTTGTCTCAAGCGCAAAAGACAGATGGGAGTTCAAGGGAGGCAGTCTAAGCAAAACTGTGGAGTTCTCACCAGTGATGGATGAGCCATGGGTGTCTGGGTTAGATGGGCGTTATTCCATGTACCAGGGCCATGCACTTTTGCCAAAAGGCCACCCATGCATGAACCCTATAAATGCTGGTTTGAGAATCCACCTCCCGATCAGCATGGATTTTGCAACCACCCGGAAGGGCATTCAGCGCCCATTTGGGGAGCTCCTCTTTTGGAGCACCATTTTCTGGAGTCCATGGCCCCATACTCGGGGCCATTCTCCACTTCATTCTCCTCCCGTGGCTCCCATGGCTGTGAAGCAGTACTGGAGAACCCCTGAAAGACTTTCAACCTGAGATTTGATCAAGCCCTTGCGGGCCTGGAACCCACTGTGGGTGCTGTTTCCTGCGGGGTCCCCCTTTTGGTTTGAAAGGGAAATCAAAAATGCCGTTGCGCCATTTTGGGGGGTCCAACCAACAAAAAGAGGCATAGCATGTCGGTCCGGCG